TAGAGAAATAAAATATTTTCACAACAAAGATCAAAGATCAAAGAAGAACTTCATGAGCACCAAACCAACCCTACAAAGAGTACTAAAAGATATTCTAGAAAGACATAAAAAAAGACTACAACTTAAAGAACAACAACAGAAAGAAAACACCAAGCAAAGCAAGCAATTAAATAGAGGGAGAAAAGAGGAACCAACAGGAGGAAAATAACATGAAAAAGATAAGCCAGTACATATCAGTTATAACCATCAATGTACATAGTCTCAATTCACCAACCAAAAGAAGTAGACTGGCAGAGTGGATCAAGAAACAAAATCTAACAATATGCTGTATACAAGAAACACATTTAACTCAAAATGAAATTCACAGACTGTAAATCAAAGGATGGAAAACAATACTCCATGCAACAGGAACCCAGGAAAAAGCGAGTGTAGCTATTCTGTTTGCAGACAATGGGAACTTCAAACCAAGAACAATTAAAAGAGATAAGGAAGGTCACTACATATTTGTGAGGGGAAAACTTGAAGAGGAAGAGGTAACAATCATAAACATCCATGCATCAAACACAGGAGCCCCCAATTATATAAGACAAACGATAACAGACATGAAAAATGAAATAAGCAACAACACAATCATAACAGGGGACTTTAGTACCCCATTGTCAGAAAGAAATAAATCAACTAGACAAAAAAATCAGCAAAGAAATAACAGAAGTAAACTAAACCTGTGAACAAATGGACTTAGTAGACCTTTACAGAGTGTTCCACCCAACAGCATCAGATACACATTCTTCTTAGCTACACATGGGATGTTCTCTAAAATAGACCATATATTAGCACATAGAACATGCTTAAGGAAATGCAAAGGAATTGAAATTATTTCATGCATACTATCAGACTATAATGCAATGAAAGTGGAAATTAATGACAAAGAAAATTGCAAGAACTCCATAAACATATGGAAATTAAACAACACCCTCCTGAACAATCAATGTGTCACAGATGAAATCAAAGAAGAAATTAAACACTACATACAATCAAATGAAAATGTAGAAACAACTTACAGGAACTTGTGGGATGCAAGGAAAGCAGTCCTCAGAGGAAAATTTATAGCAGTGATTTCCCACCTCAGGAAAAAAGAACAAGCACAAATAACCTTATGCTGCACCTCAAGCTTCTAGAAAGAGAAGAGCAAGTCCAGCCCAAAGCCCAAAGAAGGCAGGAAATTATAAAGCTCAGGGCAGAAATTAATGCAATGGACACTAAAAAACAATACAAAGAATTAATGAATCAAAGAGTTGGTTCTTCGAAAAAATAAATAAAATTGATAAACCCTAGCTAACCTTATTTAAATAAGGAAAGAAAAAACTGAAATTCATGCAGTAAGGAATGAAAGGGATGAAATCACTACTGATCCTGTAGAAATTCAGAAGATCATCAATGCCTACTTCCAAACTCTTTACTCTCATAGGATGGAAAGCACAGAGGAAATGGACACATTTCTAGATACATACAAATTACCAAAGCTGAATGAAGGAGATATGAAAATCCTGAATAACTCTATATCAGCAAGAAAAATTGAAAATGTAATAGAAAGAACTTGCCAATGAAGAAAAACCCAGGTCCTGATGGAGTCACAGCTGAATTCTACAAAAAATTTAGAGAAGATTTAATGCCAATTCTTCTCAAACTCTTTAATTAAATTGAAAGTGAAGGAATTCTCCCCAATTCATTCCTGGAGGCAAGTATTATCCTGATACCAAAACCAAAGAAAGACCCAACCAAAAAAGAGAACTAGAGGCCAATCTCCCTAATGAATATAATTACAAAAATTCCCAATAAAATACTAGTAAACAGAATGCAACAAATCATCAAGAAGATTATACACCATGACCAAGTGGGATTCATTCCAGGAATGCATGGATGGTTCAATATACACAAATCAATTAATGTAATACACCATATCAATAGAGTCAAAGACAAAAATCACATGATCATCTCAATCAATGCAGAAAAAGCTTTTGATAAAGTCCAACACTCACTCATAATAAAAACCCTACCGAAAACAGGAATAGATGGTCATTATTTCAATCTGATAGAAGCCATCTATGACAAACCAATAGCTAACATCATTCTAAATGGTCAAAAATTGAAAGCTTTCACTTTAAAATCAGGAATAAGATGTCCATAATAACCACTCCTATTCAACATAGTTCTGGTAATAGTAGCCAGAGCAATTAAACAAGAGAGAGAGACAAGAGGAATAAGGATAGGAAAGGAAGAAGTGAAATTATCATTATTTTCATATGACATGATACTCTGCATAGAAGACCCCAAACACTCCACCAGAAGGCTTATAGATTTAATAACCAAATTCAGTAGCATAGCTAGATACAAAGTTAACACTCAAGAAACAACAGCATTCCTATACACAAACAACAAACCAACTGAGACAGAAATTAGTGAAATCACATGTTTCACAATAGCATCTAAAAAGATGAAATACTTAGGAATCAATCTAACAAAACAAGTAAAAGATCTATACAGTGAAAATTATAGTACTCTGAAAAAAAGAAATCAAAGAAGATTTTAGAAAATTGAAAAGTATTCCTCGTTCATGGATAGGAAGAACCAACCTTGTGAAAATGGCCATACTTCCAAAATTGTTGTACAGAGTCAATTGAATCCCAATTAAAATACCATTGCTATAC